GGGGGCCTCGCGCCGAAAATCTGCCACGGGCCTCGCGGGACGTTAATCCGGCCCTGCCATTAATACATATATTATACTAAGCAGAAATCTAGATGTGTTGGCTTTGGTAAAGAATTTTACTGCAATGAAAATTAAAGATACCCATTCAATAAATTCTCCACGAATTTATACTATTACCCTGATCTCACATTCACAATTCGATGGTTCCACGGTGTTTCAAAATCATATTTGCACTGCAGACATTCTACTACAAAACGTTTAAAGACAATGGGATAAACTGAAAATGGAGTGCCACAAGGTTTTATCTCTGGTTCTTTGATATCTTAGCTAATGCTTTGCCACTATAATCGAAATGGGATCACGCCATCGGATCAAATCACATTTTTTGCGAGCTTTGAGATTTAGTTATATCGATAGACTACTAAGGAGTTCTGGAAAATCAATATGTCAGTATGTAAAAAATGTAAATATGTAAATTGTGGATAAGATGTAAATATCTAAAGGCGTCGCAAGCATGCAATCGCTGCTCTCAATAAAGTTAAAAATATTTCGTGATGAAATGGTGACAAATACGATAGTTCTCTTTTCAACAACAACTTCTTGTGAAGTTTGTGAGTTCATTTTGCACAAGATAAAAAACAGTTAATACATATATAAGATTACTATAAAATATGTTCATTAGTGTTGTGGAAGAAGAGATGATTGAAAATATTTGTTACAATTTAGAGATGAACATAACGACCGTTAGTTATTATGTACAAAATTTGTTACACACTTCCGGTTGTATGCTTTGCGAATTTTAGTTGTGTACTTTACGAGATTGTGAGACTTCTATTTTAAAACCAGTTATCTCAAATAACCAGGGCGGTTATAAGATATCTTATAACCGCCCTGCTGTAGCGTTATTCGCTAGTTTTATATTTTCATCAGAATTAAATTTTCTGCATTTATAGTAATCTAGCTCCTTACGGACACCCGTCTTTATTGTGATTTGTGGACAATTTCCAATGCACCCTTTCGATAATTACGTCATTTGGCCTGGGAGCCTCGCTCTCATGAATCGTGAGCCAATCACCTTGCGTAATTTACAAATGAGAGCGAGGCTCCAAGACCAAAAAGTATGTGTGACGTAATTATCGAAAGGGTGTATTGACAACGTCCAGACAATGCTACAATAATTTTTCTTTTAATAAAAACTTCATAAAACGGACACCTGTCCAATACGGAAATTTTGCCATGTTCTTGCACTATGGGCTCGGACCGGGAGAACCCCGGGGCCCCCAACCCCAATGGGGGCCCCCCAGGCTCAGGCTATAGCCTGTAGCGCAACATTGCCGTTTTCTGACCATCAGAATTCTGTAAAATCTCTCCCCAAAGTCCTGGAAATGGCATTTCAGAGAGTCTAGATTCAAATAATTTCCGGGTGAGCATGCTCTGGACCCACTAGAAAACTCGTGCACATACGGCGCTCGACTTGTGCCTTTGGCACTTCTACTAGGGGGGGGGGGCTTCGAAAAGTTTGAACCGGGGGCCCCCTGATATAACGGTACACCACTGAGTATATCCGTATTAGAGAAGTCCAAGTTTATTTCACTTACCGATTGAATTGTTGTACTATATTTACACCAACTGATCTATCAAAGACAGATATTTAAACATAAAATAACTTGAATTATGGTTCTTTTTAAGTAGATCGACTTAAAACATATTATTACATACTATAGGTAATAATGGGGTTTTGAGTACAATTTGGAAAAAAAAATGCACGAGTGAGTTTTTCAAACACGATCAAAGTCCAAAGTCGAAGGACGAGGACGAGTTGACGTCTTTGAAAAACCGACGAGTGTATATGTCTTCCAAATTTGCACGAGAATATACTATTATTTATTAATAAGATACGTGGAAAAAAATATGCAGAAGCATGAAATTCATAGACATAGTCACTTGCGAAATAAACAATATACTCGTTTGACTATATTGTTTACTCAATTTACTCAATATACTCAATGTCTTTTGTTTTGGAGCTTGCCACGTATCTATTTCTTTATTTGCCATTGAATTCTTTCTTTGGCACTGGCACTGCATGTACTTTGATAAAATTGCACTGCTCTTAGCCATTCAGAATTGAGTATTTTTTATGTAGCTATATTAGTGCCGATGAATTATATTAAATGTAATTTTTTGATATATTAGTAATTAATGCAATGCAGTCACACCTACGGTGTGATACTGTATTATTGCAGGTGACTGTTGTGAGAAATTTTATGCATTACTTCAGGTGGTATAACGCAAGGCTCGACGATTTAAGGCCTCAATTAAGGCCTTTAATCGAGGCGTCAAAGTTCTGCTTATATTGTTCAGGCAGACCTGCAAATAATTATTTCGCTGGGAAGGACAAGCCAAGACAAAAAGTCAATGTATTTCGGAGGACTATCTCTGTTGAGGCCTTGTCCAAGCCTATAGATTGCAATAAACAGTACACTTTGTTTCTACGTTATTGATTTTGTCCATGAGAAACGTCATATGGACGTTTCTCTGGAGACTTTTCCTCATAAATTATTGATGAATTTTTTAAATACTGCTTAATATATTTCGAATTTGAAGCAGCGGCATTCATATCGAGGCATCGATAGTGAATCTGATTTTGTTATTAAACGTACATTACTCACTATACTAGTAGCTTTTTTACTGCAGCTACATATACAGGGGCGAAACTACAGGGGGTGTGGGGTGACACCCCCAGTCTCTATCTCGTCAGGTATATCCATACAATTTCGTCGGGCAAATTTTGAAAATATCTGAGTGTCTCTGATTGAAAAGTAATAGTTGTAGGGAAAATTTTGATAAATTTACGAAAATATGACTGAAAAATTTTACAAATTACGGTAAATTATTCCGAAAATGCTATGTCCGGAAGCTGTAATACCGAAGTTTCGCCTCTGCATGTGCAGCATATAATGGTTTTGCGTATATCGTAACTCATATTAATAGTTTCAGCCAGTGCGGACACTTGTTCCGCAGTATAAGGGCGCTTTCCATTTAATGGCCTGACCGGTCAGACCCGAATTTTTGTCTCTGTATCAATGGAAAGATCTGGTCTATGTTTCTCAAATATCTAGCGAAAATGAACCTCATTCTAATTTTATCTAATCAACAATCTGACCGGTCTGGCCGTGTTAATGGAAAGCGCCCTAAGTTTAACAATAGAATATAGAAATACGTTAAAATGTCAAATATCCCAGGCTATCTGCACGACTATGTTTTGGACAAAACGTAGCTACAAAAATAGGTACACTAGGCGTACATGTATCTGCGCCAAATGTTGTTGTTAACGATGATCAGATTTGCGTTTTTTCCCAACAAACACGTTTTGTCAATGGATGTCCGAGTTAAAATAAGAAATCCAATGTCGTATTACTTCGCTTTGCATGTATAAAATAGAATACCAATTAAGAAGAGCACATTTGTTTTTCAAAAGTATGGATTCTTGAAGTTTGCAGTTTGCGCTAATAGTCATGTAATATTAAATTGGGTGTCATATCGCGTCTATGAAATTGTAAACGTGAATAGCGCGTTTGTTTTGTCGATAATGATTCTCCAACCTTACCGTTTGCGCTAATAGTAGATTCGCATTTATCATACAACGAACATATCAAAAATCTTGTCTCATCGTGTACTGCAAAACTTTGTCAAATTAACAGAGTGAAAGACAGTTTTGATAAAGAAACGCTCGAACTCATCATTTCATCACTTGTTATCAGTAAATTATTCTACTGTTCTTCTACATGGTCCAATACATCTTCCACAAACATTAGCAAGCTCCAAGCAGTACAGAACTTTGCATGCAGGATTATTACAAACACTAGAAAGTTTGACCACATCACTCCTGCGCTACGTCAGATTAGTTGGCTACCTGTCAAAGAACAACTTATTCTCAGAGACTCAATTATGACGTACAAATGCATGAACTCGCTTGTCCCACAATATTTAAGCGAAAAATTTTCGAAACGATCTTCGATACACAGCAGACTCACGAGAAACCAAGATACACTGCAAATCCCTTTTAACCGAACCGCCACTGGACAACGTTCCTTTCACTACAGGGCTGTTAATCTTTGTAATGGCCTGGATGAAAATATCAAAGAAGCAAGATCTCTCCGCCATTTCAAGAAGTCAATGAAAAACAATCTGTTAGACCACTATTTTAACAATTAATGTAATATAAACTATAAATACTTAATATAACTATAATTATAATATTAACTATAACATGTAATGGGCATTAAAAAGCCCAGTTGGGAATTGCTCAATAAAGTATGTATGTATGTAATAGTCAACTAAAACCCAAGTTATCAAACATTGTAAATTGCGGAATTCCGGAAGCGGAAAAGGGGATAAAACGCAGGAAAAGGGTTTAGTAGCTTCAGTTACGTAATTTCGAGCAATGCCGGAAAGATGTCGTAAAGCACAAATAATACTTGTCGCTGATTGACTGCAAGCTAAAAGCAGTTTTCCACTTCGACCGTATCGTAGCATTTTCTTTTGTGTCGAAGTCATTAGTTCCACTCTAGTGGTCAGAAAACAAAGAAACACGCTACGCTTCGATACAATACGATTGAAGTGAAAAGGCCTTAACACAGACACTAACACACTTACACGCACGATAGCATTATATCTACGTGTTGCGTGGATACAAAAATCCTGTGTATTTCACACAAGAGTTCTTAATTCTAATAGAGTTTTTGTCTCTCTTTAACCCTGACTACTGTAATTGAAAACACGGGGAACTACTAATATAATATAAACCAATGAAGAGAATTTAAAGCAATATCCCTCTGCATATAACCTTAGCACGACAAAAGTGTCACCCATGCACGCTGCAGTTACGATTCAGTGATGAGAATGTTCCGTTGTCTTTCCATTGTTTTTAAAAAGCCAATTTTCTCCATGCCATCCAGCTACTCTTTTCTAACCTTGCCCCCCGTTGAATTAACTAATAATATAAATCTGAATGCATATGCTTTAAAGTCATCCTTTCTTCCCCAAAGCAAAGGGATTTAAGTGGCTGGCTGAATACAACCAAGACCATCGATATTCCCATTTTATTGCCAAATATAGGTGGCCATGTTGGATAAATACGACAAATAATTTAAATACGACAAATAATTTGGATAAATACGACAAATAATTTTCCTGTTTCTACCTCGAATTTCATCCAACATGATGAAAATAGCTTTGTTACGTTTTTTAATTTATTACACGAATACAAGTTAATCCGAAACAAAAATATCAGTGCATCACTATCGCAAATTAAGGGGCCGATTACATGGAGCATTTTCAACCCCGGGGTTGAACTCAGCCCTGTTAACCGAGTTCAAATTTTTTGCGATTACATGGACGATTTCAACCCCGGGGTTGAAACGTTATACTATACGTTCTCGGCATCGATTCGCGGAAGTAGAAAAAGCCTTTATTTTGTTTTCTTGTAATAAATAGTCACTACCACGTATGCTCGAATAAGTCATGATAATTTCAGCCCTGGGTTGAAACGATTACATGACAAAATTTTCAACCCAGGGCTGAGTTCAACCCCGGGGTTGAAAATGCTCCATGTAATCGGCCCCTAAAGGTCGCAACAAACGCTTACCAAGGACGTTTTGTGCATTCCAATGGATACAAAATCAACACCATGCATACGCTATATTCTTTTTCTTTGTTTTTTCTTTTTGTTACCAACTGCCACTTGTGTCTCGGTAACAGACCTTTTGTTGACCTGATAATATATGCGGAAAAGCGTTAAGATATAGTCTAGTGCGTGCAATACACCCTTCTAATAACTACTCAGCCTTGACTATATATAGATCCTCGTTTTCGTGATATGAGATATTCTATTTAGAGTCCTTTATCGTGTTACATATTTTTACGAAATTACAAAAGACCTTTATATCTGCTCTAAAGGCGGATCTCCACTAGACAATTTTTGAGACGATTTTTATGACGAGCGCGACGATTTAGAGAGAAGTGGAGATGTACTAGCAGCAAGAAAAAAAGCCGGCGCAGAATCTTATTGGTTAAAAATTTGGCGATCGTCTGGCGCTCGAGAAAAGTAGAAGTCAATCCTAGTTTTCGTCGAGCGCTAGACGATCGCTCTTCCAACCTTTTTTCAATTGCGCATGTGTCATCGCGAACTGTTTTGACGATCGTCTGGTGGAGATCCACCTTAAATTAAAGCCGATTTCTCAATCTCGAAAACGAGGCTCTATAGCAAAGTCAAGGCTAAGTACTTTCCGGAAGGGTGGTTTAAGCATGCACAGGTGCACGACCAATCTACGGTGTAGACCTAAAATTGCAACTATAGCCTTGCCTTCTTAAGTTTTTCCCGTATTGAAAGAACAGTCCTATCCAACGAAAGGTCGCCGGTCTGGAAAAAAAATATGGAATAATATACATAATATTGCTGTCAAGATTAAAGCGTGGGGCCATCCACAATGATTTACAATTTATATATTTCTTTATTTTATTTATTGTTTTTTCCATGTACAATATTCCTAAAAACATAATACAGATAAAAGAAATTACTCAATTCTAATTGGCTATGAGCAGAGAAATTTTATCGCAATTTATATAGTGCCAAAAAAGGAAATTCAGTGCAATAAAAAACACGTGGCGAGCGCCCAAACAAAAGACAGTTTAATATCAGTTTATTGAGCCATTCAAGTGAAGTGAGTAAATGATTTATTTCATGTGTTTCATGCATGCAAGTGCTATACCTATGAATTTGATTCTGCATAATTTTTTCATGTATATTATTAATGATATACAATTTTGAAAATATATTACGACTGTTTGTACAGGTGATATAGGGCCTAATAGAATCGGAAAGACTTATGGTAAGAAAGCTCATTTTGATAAATGTTTTAACTTTCAAAGTCGCCAGATTATTTTAGACGAATTTTAAATTTGTTTTCCTTTGGTTTTTACTGCTAAAATTCACCTATATAACATCACAATCATTTAAAATCAAATGTAATAACGCTATAAGATATCATTTTTTTAGTATATGTAATATTTAAAATTTTGAGGTAGGAAACAGGAATAAATATAGACTTATAGCAAGATGATGAAGAAAAAGAAAATGTTAGCTACATAATATATGATTAAATTCTTTGGCCAATATAGCTACTATAATTGGTCTCATCACCGCGGTTTCAGTAATTCATTTTTGAAATGTTATACAACTTTATGTTTCTTAAAATTTGGTTTCAATTGATTCCATACATCAACTCCAATTACTATAATTACATTTAACCTAGCCTGCAGAGTAGGCGTTTTGGTTTACTTCGCCCCAACCAAAACGCCTGCTCTCAGGCTACATTTA